CGGATATCTGACACGAGGCTTGGCCGTTTGGCACGATGAAAGACATCCAAAACACCACCCCCAGGTGAAAAGTACCCCAGTACATCTAACACTGATGTATGTAGACCGATTCATAAAGCCCCCATTTGGATTGAAAACACCTTCACCTTATGGGAAATCACTAACCGTTTTAACCTTAAGTGGCAGATCTTGTTCGTCGAAAGTGGCAGCAAAGTTTGCCAACTCGAGCATGCCAGGGTCTGTGGTGCCAGAGAACAACACCTTTCGTGTGATCTACAACAAGCTCCTGCGCTCTGTCGGATGCTCAGACTTCAGCTCCTCGCACCTTTTGGCCATTTCCGTCGTACGTTGGAGTCTTGATGAGTCCGGTCTCTGTGGAGTCTTGATCGTTCGGCTGTGGAGACGGGATTGGCAGCCGAACGATCAGGCACTGGTTGGCCAGGCCAAGGAGTGGATGGTATTGGTTTTAGGGGTGGATGGTATTCTGTGTCCATGGAGTCTTTGGGGTGTTGATTTTTGTTCCGTTGCTGTCCTGGGGTCGGCCCGGGTAGCCTTGCATTTGGTGACAAAATGTGTTCTTTTGTAGGAAGTGTGGAGGTGGGGACCCTCCATGTTTCTCCATCTAACAACCCAAAGACTGACAAAGTTGAGCACCAAAGGACGATCATCAGGACATGTTATCAAGACCTTGGGCTGACAGAGTGGAGTTGGGCATGTCTCCCACTTTTCTCTTTAGGGCGTGTAGCGTTTCGTGTTATTCTATACGGCCCATATTTGGCCGTACACGCGCGCGAGGCACCCCTCTCCTCCCACTGGCTCTGCGATTACCAGGTTTTTTTACCTCAGACAGGCCTTGTCCTTTTCGATATCCGCCCAGTCATGTGGGGACATACCAAGCGCATTCTTCACTTTTGTTTTCTGCACAAAGCAAAATTCCCATACCCCACCCCGTCAAGACCATCAACGCGCGCTGTTTCTTCGCGCAACGTGCATCAACACTACACTACTCATGTATCGTAGACGCGAAGATCATCCGTATTCTCACAACTACACATCCGTTAGGATAAACATGCATGAAGCACCTTCCGCGTACCATGAAACCATATCACAAGTAAGTAAAACTAATGATAAGTATGTGTCACAAAACCAGTCCATAAACTCCGCACATCCAAATGAAGCCCATATTTGTCCACAGTATCAGATTGGGGCAGGCGAGATCCTGTTGAAAACATGGTGGACAGCGACATATGCGGACAGCGATGGGTGGAGGATTCACCGATTCAAGGAAGCTCGGTTTGCGGAAGCCCTCCCGATGGGCGAGCAATGGACCGGTCCTGGCTAAACCCACCTTGAACTGGGGAATTGGGGGGGGATTGAGGACGCCCCACTGCATATGAACCAGGGGGATTGGGGGGGGCCGGGGGATTGAGGAGGCAAACTGCATATGAACCGGGGGGAAAAGGGTTACATGTACCAGGACCGACACCTCTTGAGGTGTCTATCAATAGCCTCTTAGAGGTTAAGGGTGTCCAGAGACCGCCTGTTGGAACATCCTGGTATATGTTATACCCTAAGAATCCGGGCCGATGGTCCACACACATAGGGTTTTGAGGGTCCAGACCCCTGCGTTTCGGTGTCGGGTCCGACCCCTGCCATGGAGAGCCCGTTTGGATTCTTAGGGATATAACTACTGCCGTTGGCAATAGCGAGTTGCTGCCGAAAAAAAAGCCATGTTGGGCGGAGAACTCGCTACCAGGTGTTGATACCAGGTCTGGGTGGTGGTTTCAGCTTTCTATGTTCATCCTTTGCCTGGGATGATTAAACCCACTGACTCATATGTATCAAGTGAGTTGAAACCACCAAGCAGAGATAGAAGAGGATGAAAACTCACTGTAAACCACCAGACAATTAGACCACATATATTTCAGGGAGAACGCTGCAAGGATGGCAAAGAGGAAAAGAGACTCGAACTTGTCTGAAAACACTCCGACGAACACATCACATGGTGGTGACGTGGATGGCATGGCCCCGAAAGGACCGGATGACCCCAGGGTCATCCTCCACAAAGGGACCGGACATGTTCCACTTGGACCGTGAGTCGGAGTGAGTCGGGCCAGAAATTCACTCACGGAAGAACGCCGCTCCGTCGTCCAGAGACGGCGAGGAAAGCCCAATGTAGTCTCTGGCGAGCGTCCCCAATTCGACCGCTCCAAGCGGCTCCAACAGTGTTTACAAACACACCAAAAAACACAAACACACACAATCACACATATTATATACTATATATATATATAGCTATATTATGTTATACACGATATATATATATATATCAGATTATATCAGTATATGATAGTATATGTGTTCTCCTTTGGAAAATGCAGGTCATCCACTTCCACGGCGGCTACCGCCAAAACCTCTCGTTGCTGGCGCTGGGCAGCACCAATGCCGCTGAGCATGTGGAGGACCGGCGCCAGCGACGAAATCCCATGGAACGTCAAGCCCCGTTGGAACGTTTTTTTTGGGGGTGCATTTGGGGACATGCCACTCTAAAGATAAGCACGTGGACGGTACGGTGAACAACCCTTTTTCCCTAGAAATCGAAACGGTTCGGAGTTAGGACATGCACCGGTGGAACATGGCCACGGACGAAGGTCATGTGGAGCAGATTGGCTTGTTGGTGCATTCCACAAACGGCGACCCTTGGAAGCACAGTCCCATAGACACCAGGACCCGACTCACGTTGGATCCAAGAGCCACCGGAAGAGACCTTTTGGACGCGTCGGGTGCTGGTGTCTATCATCCAGGAGAGAGGTGTGAACGATGTGATGTGAGAGTAGATGGCTGTGCCCAAAGTCGACTAATTAAGACGATTAAGGTTGTACTGCGATCTAATTACTCTTAATTCAATCTCCAGGTCCACGTTGAAGCACGTGTGAATCCTTTTTTTGGAGCAAGAAGAATGAATCTGTGAGGAATACCTGGGTTTGTTTACGCAGGACTCATTGCAGCTACCCCGCACTTCCTCTTCAGCTCCATGAACTCCTTGCAACTGTGAAGCAAAAAAATAGGCGCCCAAATCCCTTGGACACATTGGGTGGACTGACCATCCCCGATGGTCCCAAGAATTTCACCTCTGACAATTAGATACGAATGCCCCCAACTCTCCCTATCAACCAACAACCAACTGTGCCCACAGTGTTTGCTGCCATCCTCCAGGATGCCGTGCGCTACTTCCATGAGACCTTGGACCTCTACACAGACAACACCTCGGTGAGGGTGAAGTATCTCCAGGTTCATAGCAGTTCCTTGGCGTTTTCAGGTGCTTCGTAGTGTTGACCCCGTTGGAGATCTGTTTGTTAAGATAGTTATAGACATATAGATACATTATATACCGTATACAGTATAGTGCGTTCAAGGGGGGGGTTGATTCCGGGCAAAGATAGCCATGTCCTTGACGCGAAGTTGGGTTCAGTGCCAGGAGTGATCGAGTGACTGCATGGGGCATAGAGGATCCCAGTCATGTCGCATCACATCCACTCCATGTTCAGAGGATCCCAGTCATGGCCCAGGTGATGCACTGGAGCTGGCGCAAGAGGTACTACCCACCCTCAGGCGAACCGAAAAATCCCGTCGTGCTCCACCATCGGCGCGCGCGTGTTTGGTTATTTTTTCGGCACGCGAGTGTACCTGGACTGGGCTTCAACTGGGTGACTGTGACCTCAAAGAGGACAGATCTTTTTCAGTAGAGAAACTTGACACACTTAGATCCATGCTCGCAACAGCCTAAATCAGTTGTGAAGATCCAGTGAGATTAGCACTTTAGGTGAACAGTTGGCGTTTTTGGGGGTGCCTGTCCCCGCATTGCGGGTTGAGTTCTCGAGAACCCCCTCTTTGAGTACATGCAGCTTTGTGAAAAAAGGAGGCAGCAGAATCTGCATCATCACTTGACGCAAAAACATTGCTTTCAGGATGTTGGCTTGTCAACCTGGTCACTTCAGAGGCAAACGGAAGGGTAGTGGACAGACAGAGTTTTGCAAAAACCTAGTCTACTGCGTGGAAGGGCCAGGACATTCCTGGAACCCGGGGCTGTTTGTGGACGTTTCGTGGAATGGTGGCCAGTAGGAAAACTGACTGCAACAAAAACCCACAAACCTTCGCATAATTGTGTGAAGGTATTTTTGATGCACTAACTTCGAATAAGCCATTTTTGCTGACCCGCTTTCTCCACACACCCTTCATTTAGCCTTCATCACTGGTCCCCCAAAACTGCTCTGAGTTGGAGCCCTTTTATTCTCTTTGCCCCCCCAAACATGGATTTTGTGTGACGCTGAGGGGGCATTCCTTGCCACCGCAGGTCCTTCATGGGCTGGTAGCACTACTTCGTGAACAGATGCGTGAACAGAAGTGCGTGCTGCCAGTGCGTTTCACCGAAAAAGCATGCTGCGCTGGCGCGCAGTAGAACGTTTGCGTCGGGCTTTCGGCGGATTTGGGGATGGGTCGTGACCCACGTAGAGCCCGAGCAGTCCACCATGCAGTGAACGAAGGAAAACACCAGCTAGGTCAACGTATCCTGGTCGGTGGGGGCTGTAAACCTCTCAAAGAGGTCGAAAGAAGTCCCCACTGACCCATTGGTCAGTGCAATGCAAGAATCGAATCAACTGAGCAGTTAACAAGTCACATTGAACCGCTTGTTCCCTCTCTTAAACGAAGATAGTGCTTCAGTTGGCAAGACGATGTTCGTTTGTTTCCCAGAGGTGTTTTTAGGCTCAGGTCCATTTGTTCACTTGAGTGAGATGACCCAATGGCTCAATGACTAGACGTCCATCGATTCGTTCATCGAATCAATCGAAAGCGGAGCAACAAGGGGAAGTCCTAGAGCTCGTTGTTGTTAGTTCCACTGTGGAAGTCCATAGGGGCAGCTTTGTCCAATAGGGTATGCTGGGTGGAGCCGCTGTCCCCTTTCGGCGCGGAGAAAGCTGTCAGACGACCCGACCCGGCAGGTGGAGAAGATGCGCTCCGCCTTGGCACAGTTGGCCATGAACCTCCAGTCGGGGTGCACCCAGCGTGGCCAACGGAGGTGTCGGGAGGCCGATCTGCTGGCCGTTCCCTGGTTTTGTGATCTCTATCTTCCCCATTCATGTGAAGCTCCAGCCTTCTGGAGACGATGTGTTTTTGTCTCCCGGTTCCGAACGGGCAAATCCCAGGGTCAAGGAGTCAACTGCAGTCTTCCTGGTTTGCAGTATGTCAATGGCCGATGACACATTGATGTTTTGAAGGTTGGTTCAACTATGGGCTTGAAAACCACATCGAATCGTTGACTCGAAACCTCATGAATGAAGCTCCAAGCTGTGCATGGAGTCATACCGCTTTCATCTTTTCCTCAAGTTGATGGCTCTCCTCTAAAAGTCAACTGATCATGCAAGTTGAGGAGCTACTGTGTGTGTTCGCTCTTTTTCGCCATCTCCATGGCAGACCTTGTGGAGGATTCCGTGACTCTTTAACAAGGGAGGCCGCTGCCTCGGCTTCTCCTTCCTTTCTCCTTTGTCAAGGCCACCCTGGGACCCCCATCCTGCCCGCCGCGAAAAGCGCGGCCGTTTCTCGATGACTTGGAGCCTCATCTTCTTTGGATTAGCAAGAGTCTTTGGATGTTCTTGGGTTTGTGATCACTAGGACCCACAAAGCTCATGTATTGAAAACAACAATAGCAAAACAAGACTCAGCAGAAGACTCAACCTGAAAGGAAAACTCAGAACCAGAGTCAATAATGAAACAACTCAGACCAGAACCTTGAGTGTAAATTTGTTTGTTTGTTTGTTTTAGTCTCTCATTTTTGGTCGTTCTTGATTTGTTGTTGTCTTGATTTTGGACTTTTGTGACGAGATCGTGGTCACAACTTTAGCCCCCCGAAATGCAGTCTTGTTCTCCAGCCGGAACACACCGGCCCTTTTTGGGCTTGGCCTGCTGCGCCTGCTGCGCCAAGCACAGACACAGTCGAGCCAATCTTGGCGGGACCGGCACAACTTCCTTCCACATGTTTGGGCCGAGTCCGCCGAAACTCCACGTCCGACCCAGGAAGCTATCCCTTTATTGGTGCCATAAGCCATATAATATATATATTGTCACCCCCAAATAGATAGAAAAGTAAATCTCCATGACATCACCTCGAAGTAGGCGCGGCTGAGACTCCATTCCGAAAGTAGATGGCTGTTTTCATGAACAAAAGGGAGACCGAACCGCCGGCGTTCCGAACCCCCCTGGAAGGTTTGGAACAGAAACCAGTCAAACCATTCGACCGTCTTTAGGGGGTGTCAGAGTCTTTAGGGGTTTTACACACCTAGATCTTCCCAGATGCCTTGGATCCTTTTGCTCCTTAAAGGCTTCCACGGGCCTCCACTCACCTCTGTTCGACTCCGCGCAGCCGCCTGCGGCCGACGGAGTCGAACGACTCACGAAAGAACGACCTGGTGATCTTTTTTCCCCAGAAAGAAAGCAAATGCGTCTCATCACAGAAACCTGGTTTTTGCTTTAAGGGCCGTGTTTTTTTGACCTTTTGTTCTCCCTCATGTTTGAATCCACTTGCTGTGGAAGAGAATTGATTTCCCGGACAAGCAAATCCAAGTAACTGGAGCTCTATTATCAGTCCTTTTTCTGAAGGAATCTTGATTGGACACCCAAAAAGGATGGTCCAGCTAGGAGGGCCACCATTGGTACAAAAGACCTATAGGTCTTTTGTTGTATTTTTTTTTCCAGCATCCTGGACAAGCAAAAGAATGCATATAATAGGCTTATACTTCCAGAACCTATAAGTGACCTCTGTTCCGGACCACCAACCACCCGAAGTACGGTCAAAAATCCTATCAAAACAGGAGTCATGTTTGGGTTCCAGGTACATCTCCCATACACTCCATGTATAGAATATACGCCCACATTGACCCCGCATACATGGAGAGTCTGAGTATACTCGATCCATCCACGTTCTCGTCCGCTGAGCGAGCGCCATCCACCGCGACCGAGGCAGGCATCGGAGAGCTCTGAGCCCAGCCGTTGGGTGGACGCCTTCGCCGCTCGGTATGGTGGCAAGCGTCCGAAGTCCAAGACGAAGTCCGATGGTGATAGTTCTCCAAACAATCTGGGTAACACTCTATATAGTATATAGAGAGTTCTTACGGTAGGTGTTAAAGTCCGGGTGTTTGATTACTGATGGGAGGTTCTCATCGGCGTGTGCGGCTAATTCGTGGCAGGCGCAAGGGAAACCGGGCGCGTGTTTTGGTGGTCCAAAGTCGACTTTTCGCAGCAGGTGCAGTACCTTGGACATGGTGGTGGTCTTCGGCGCGCTCTGATTTCGTGGCAGGTGCAGTGAATCGTGACCTTTGGACACCCGACTCGTTTTCAGAAATCGCCGGAAGTCTTGAGTGAAAGCTGCGCCTTGGCACTTTGTGGGCCTTGAAGTGCAGTTTTCGTGGCAGGCGCGGCATTTTGTGGACCTTGAAGTGCAAGTTCCGTGAAGCACATATTATATATATATATTAATAGTTATTCTATATGTGTCCTTATTCAAACCCTGTCAAACATATACAAGATATTATCTTCAAAGGGTGCCCCTTTAGACTCCCACCATCTGCAACTATAGACAAACCTACAATAATCAACCCCCCTCCAGCCCTGCTGGCTTGTCCTTGCCTTGTGCTTTCCGTTTTACTTTTAAGTTCTCCTATCTTCTTCTTATTATTATTCTTCTTTCTTCTTGTTGCATTTCCTTCTTTTGTGGAATCTTTATCTTTAATCTTTGCCCATCAGGTTTCCAAAAACATTGGCTAGCCAAAAGCTTTAGGTTTCCTTATTCAAACCCTATCACACAAATACAACAAATTGTCTTCAAAGGGTGCCCCATTAGAACCCCACGCCCCTCAAATATAAACAAATCTACAATAATCAACCCCCCTCCGGCCGCGCTGGCTTGTCCTTGCCTTGTGCTTCCCCTTTTGCTTTTAACAAAGGAAAGATTCTCTCAATGAGTGCAATGCAAGAGGCCAGGGATGATTTGAGCCTATCCGTCAATGACTTTCTTCGCCCCAGAAAAGAAAAGTACACGCGGTAGGACTTTGAGCCCAGGACCTTTAGCTTCTGAGCTCGACTACAATACCACTAGGCCACACGGGCGCTTGACAACAGGATAGACGTATGAAATCTGCCTGCCTGTCAGCTGAGGGGCTTTTTCCCCTTAAGCCACAAAACCAAAAAGCACGAGCCGGGACAAACTGAGCACACTGCAAGCAGTGGTCATTTTGGATACAGGTCAGCAATCTGTCCTTCCCTGCCTCATGGCTGCCGACCTGCGGCTCGAGAGCACAGTGAAGAAGCCACGCACTGATGGAGGGCGCTTTGAACCAAAACGACGCCAATGAAAATTGCATGGTTGGTTGTTGGCTGGCTCCTCTGACAAGAACTGGGGACTGTTGCGCCAAGGGAGCGCAGGCCAATCCATCTCCTTGGAACATATGCGGTTGCTTCATGGCCACGTGTTGCGCGGAGTGCCTAGGTTCCAAAGTTGCACTTCTTTCAAGCAATGTCTATTAAAGTCTTCGGTGCGCGTCGGGCATGTAGGGCCATGTTAGCAAACCGCCAGTGAATGGTGGATTGTATTGCTTAGGCTCTTCAGCTAAGCAGCAGCAAAGGCTACTGAAACGCTAGTCCAAAAATCAAAAACACCGTTCCTCGGCTTCAAGTCCTTGATAAGTTTTTGGTTTGGCGCTGTCGAGTTATGGCTCCGAACGTTCCTTGGCCACGCCGGGTTTCCAAGAGAGAGGTTGCCCGGGCTCCATCTCGGCAGGTGAATGCTGCAAGTTTGTTTACGATGGCAGGTGCAGCAGCGCTGTCTACTGCGTGCATTGCAACGGCGTTTGCCACATCCTTGAAAGCGCCTCAGGCGGCGAGATGTCGCATAGCCGCGCAGCGGAACATGGAATTGAAGGGTTTTAGAGCAGAGTATTAAAGTTTGTTATAAGGTTTCTATATGTGGAAAGAGAAGAAGAAGCAAAGAAACATACACCGATTTTGTTTCCCGGACAAAGGCTTGCATACGCAGCGTATTGCGTTCTCGACTCTGGGACCTGAGACTCCACTGGATAAATGTTTGGTTTCATGTTGTTTGCCCTGTAGATAGGCGCCGCAATGCAAATCCTGAAGAAACATGAGCGCAATTGCATCAGGACCCGACTCCTGCATCTCCAGACCTCTAGACCTCCCAACCTCCCTGCATGTCAAGACCTCGACCTCTTTTCAACCTCTCTCAAACACCAGATCGCTACCCCTACCTCCCTAGAACTTTGGACCTCTACTGCCTCTCAAGACCTCACCTCTTCATTTTGTAGGTGTGTAGATGTAGTGTTCTTGGATCTCAAGACCTCTAGAGGACCTCAACCTCTAGACCTTGAGATCTGTAGGTTTCTACACCTCTACACTCTAAGCCAGATCTCGACCTCTAAATCTCTAGCCCACCAGACCTCTCAAGGTCTTTGGAACTCTGATGTAGTGTTCTCGATGTGTTCTTGCGTCTCAAGCTCTAGATCTCTGCTAGACCTCTGCACTCTGGATCCCAAGACCTCTAGACCTCTGCGTCCCTAGACCTCAACCCAGACCTCTAGACCTTGAGATGTCTGGGTTTCTAGACTAGACCTAGACCTCTAGATCTCGAAATCTCTAGTAAGAGCTCCCAAACCTCTGGATTTTCAGGCCTCCAGAGCTCTAGACCTGGTAGGCCTTTAGATGTAGTGTTCTCGCATCTCTACGAAGCTTAGACCTCTAGACATGACCCTCTAGACATCTGCATCTCTCTCTGGGTCTCAAGACACCGAGCTCCTTTCTTGGAGGAACAACATGATGAAAGAAGAACAGGCTGCGATGTCCGACATTGGGCGGCTGATGCTGGAACATTGGCGTCAACATGTAGACGGCCTGGCCTTTTCCTCACTTCCTGCTAGTATTGCTGAGTATGGCAGCGATTGCCTGAAGCTCACGAATGTCCTCCAAAAATCTGCTCAGAGTGGTCATCCAGTTCACAGCCGGTCAGTGCAGCCTGCTGTGCAAGGGCTGGCTTTGCAAACTACTTCTGCTGATCCTGACGCTAGCTTTGGTTGCCAACAGCAGCAGCAGCACCAGCAGCAGGAAAAACCCGATTCCGAGGAAAGTCGAACGACAAGTCATTCCAAATCCCTGTCTCAGCATAGGAAAGCGGGGCATAATGTGAGTGGGTGAGTTTATATCAAATTTGCTAAGCAAAACTACGTCGCTTTACTTCGAGTGATCCCCACCATGACATTTCAAAAGAGCCACGTTGACATCACCCCCGTTGTGTATTTCAGCCCATAGCACAAGTCCTTCAGGAGACCTGTGCCCAACTAATAATACAACTCAGATCCTCCGGTTGCGCGTTGTGGTTGTGTGTTTGTGGTTGCGTTTGTGATTGTGTTTGTGGTTGTGCTTGTGGTCGCGTCTTTGTCGTTGTGGCGCTGGTCGTGTTTGTGGTTGTGCACTTGTCATTGCGTGTTTGTGATTGTGGCTGTGGTTGTGTTTGTGGTTGTGTGTTTGTGATGGTGTTTGTGATTGTGTTTGGTGTTTGTGTTTGTGTTGGCGGTTGTGTTTGTGGTTGCGTGTTTGTGATTGTGTTTGTGGTTGTGTGTTTGTGGTTGTGTGTTTGTGTTTGTGATTGTGTGTTTGTGGTTGTGCGTTTGTGATTGTGTTTGTGGTTGTGCTTGTGGTTGTGTGTTTGTGATTGTGTTTGTGGCTGCGTGTTTGTGATTGTGTTTGCGGTTTTGTGTTTGTGGTTGCGTGTTTGTGATTGTGTTTGTAGTGCGTTTGTGATTGTGTTTGTGGCTGCGTGTTTGTGATTGCGTTTGTGGTTGTGTGTTTGCGGTTGTGTGTTTGTGGTTGTGTGTTTGTGTTGTGTTTTTGTGGTTGTGTGTTTGTGGTTGTGTGTTTGTGGTTGTGTGTTTGTGGTTGTGTGTTTGTGGTTGTGTGTTTTGTGGTTGTTTTTGTGGTTGTGTTTGTGGTTGTGTGTTTGTGATTGTGTTTGTGGTTGTGTTTGTTGTGTGTTTGCGGCTGCGTGTTTGTGATTGTTTTTGTGGTTGCGTGTTTGTGATTGTGTTTGTGTCTGCGTGTTTGTGATTGTGTGTTTGTGATTGTGTGTTTGTGATTTTGTGTTTCTGGTTGTGTTTGCGATTGTGTGTTTCTGGTTGTGTTTGTAGTTGTGTGTTTGTTGTTGTGTTTGTGGTTGTGTGAGTGTGGTTGTGCGTTTGTGGTTATGTGTTTTTGGTTATGTGTTTGTGGTTGTGTGTTTGTGTTTTTTGTGTTTGTGATTGCGTTGGTGGTTGTGTGCTGTGGTTGAGATCCGGCAGGGAACACTTGGGCCTGGAGCTCGCAGTCTGGCAGGGAATACTGGGCTGCAGCCAGTGCGCTTCAAGGAGCGCACAGAATGTATAGATTCAGGATGGCCCAGGTTGCTCAAAGCAGCTGGTTTCACTCCTGAAAGGTTGCATCATGAGAAGGGGCTTGCCATTTTGGCGGATTTTGGCTCCAATATTGAACCTCCTTGGTGACCATTCACCACATCATTGTCGGTTGGGTGAGCTAGAGAGGATGGTGAATCTGGGGCTAGTGCCTGAAGTCGCGTTGACCGCGTGGCTGATGGTGCTGTTCCCTGGATACGAGGACCTATCAATCAGCAGGATTCTCGGCACAAAAGCACGCAACTGGTTGCATTTCGAAGAAGTGTGCAAAGAGCTCCCATGTCTGGAACCGAGATCAATTGCGTGGCTCAAGGACAGGTGCACACGCCGCCAGAGGTGGCCTGGAATTCATGAGTGGCGTAAAAAGTTGAAGATGTCCTTTTTGTGTAAAGCACAAAGACTCACTTCTTGGGATCGCACAGCAGAGCTACTTACTTGCACAAGTGAGGCGGATGGTCGTGGTTGAGGTCCGGCAGCAAACGCTGGGCGTGGATGGTCGTGGTTGAGGTCCGGCAGAGAACACTGGGTGTGGATGGTCGTGGTTGAGGTCCGGCAGGGAACACTGGGCGTGGATGGTCGTGGTTGAGGTCCGGCAGGGAACGCTGGGCGTGGATGGTTGTGGTTGAACACTGGGCGTGGATGGTCGTGTTGAGGTCCGGCGGAGGAGAAGGAGAAGGAGGAGGAGGAGATGGGGCTGACGTAAAATCTAACAACCCTCACCTGACAGGTGGGGAACAACAACCATCGAAACGATCCAGTTCAATGTTATAAGTATATACAGGACGTTCTAGAGACCTTTAGATTTTTTGGATCCAGTTCTCAAGATCTTAAATTGTTGATCTTTAGACCTCTAGAGGTGCTAGGAAAGTTGGGCGGGTACACTGGAAGATTGATACCGTCTGGCTGGGAACGCTTGTGGACGGAACACTCAGAGCGTGCCACGTTTGCGAGTGGGTTAGGTGCATTGGGGATTCTGACCCCTGCATCAGGAGACTTAAGACTTACAATGCAGTGGTCAAGAAGCTCCAGAAGCGATTCATCTCTGCTGGAGCTAGAGACCTCTAAATGTCGGCCTCCAGACCTAGAACTCCAAGGCATCATCTCTCTCAAGACCTCACCTCTAGATCTCAAGAGTTCCAGGCTTCTATCTCCAGATCTAGACCTCCAGACCTTTCGATCTCCAGGCATTTAGATCGTTCGGGACTTCTAGATAGTTTTGGATCTCAAGACCTCAGGACCTCTTGATCTCTCTGGAACCCAATACATCTGGATCTCTAGACCTTCTGCTTCTACACCTTTGGACATTAGAAGGGTTTTATTTGGAGTTGTTGTATGGTTTATAGGTGGTGCTGTTGCTGGTGCTGGTGGTAGTTTCCCGCCTGCACTTTAGGCTGTCAGGGTTTGGGCTAGGTGCAAGCAGCCGATCAGCTCCTCAAAGCATGAACCAGACTGGCCTTGGTTTACATAGTTTCTGCATAGGCGTGACCTTTGCTCGAGAAACTTTGGCTTACCCAGTGAGCATGCTCCTTGGCATTTGCTGGGCTCTAAGAGGTCGCCTGCATTACAGTCAGCTGCCCCGGCGCGTCCACATCGAGCCGAAGAAGGAGGGCTGGATGCATTGGTTTCCTTGGTGAGTTTCCCCATCACATAGGCAAGTGCAAACTGGACATGATGTATTTTTTGTCCAGTTTGCACTCGCCTAGGTTAGTGAGTTTCCGCATCACACCATTGCGTGTCAAGTATACTTCCTTCCCCGTCACTTGCGATGGACACATCCGGTGTGGGGGGCGGAGCATGCCCGGGCAAATCAAGAGCTCGATGTCTTGTGCTAATATTGGCTGAGCCTCCTGATCTGAAATCCACTCTGTCCACATCGACATCTGGGTGATGTTTCTCGGTGCTGCTGGTGCTGGTGCTGTTGATGCTGGCGCTGGTGCTGGTGGTGGTGCTGCTGCTGCTGGTCAGTGGTATGTTCAACATTCGAACTTGGGGATGATGGATCCCATATAGTTTTCCATGTGGTGAATTCAGCAACCAGCCATACATGGATCTAACCAACAATTTAAGGGCAGCGATGGACTTGTAGATTCTGGGTAGATGATGTTCATTGATCAAGGGGGAAGGTAGTGCTTTGGAAACTTGATTTTTGACTGTCCCTACCGGGCCTCATTGATCTCCCTGATCTACCCCTGAATCTCCCAGTCGGTGGACTCGGACTCCCCTCCTCGACGCGGATCTCCCAGGCCTCCCTGCAAAGCGCGCTCGACGCGGACCGCTCGGAGCGACCGGTTCGGGGGGGGGGGGAGGATGGACCGGATGGGCCGAAGGTCGGGTATGAAGGGGATGAAGATGACCCTGCTATTCGGACGTGGACGAAACCAAAACCACTGGGTGAACCATTGGGGAAAGATCGTCGAAACCGTGGTTCGTTGTTCCAAAGTCCGTGTGAGGTTGGGACGTACACCGGGTGAAGCCACCTCCCTTGGTGGCTAAAATGTCAGACAGGTCTTTTAGGGGACGCCCAAAAGGCGGTGTTACTATAGTGGCCAGCTCGGCTCGAGAGCGCTGTGCCCTTCACATGATTAGAGTGAAACAAGACATCGCAACCCAACTACCAAAACAGTTTTAAGGATCTTCAAGGCTCGCTTTTTGGATTTTTGGGGTTGGATATGGATACGGTTGGATCTATATAAGGATCTAATCATTCAGTTCAGAGTCGTCGCACAAGTCAGTTTGGAGTCTCATTCTCATCGTACACGTTGTGTCAAATTTATATGAAATTATCACATGACCTACCGCGATGCGGAATCCGTGCTCTCTTATGCTAGACAATAATCTTGAATTGCTTGAGACTTGGAAAAAAGAACCTGAAAATCAGAGGGTTCAGGCCAAACAATCCATGTTACCAGCGCGTACTTGTCGAAAACAATTCCGGATGTTGGATCACCCAAATACCTTAGACATCTTCCCTTTGCTCCCTTTGCTTTAGACCTACAGGCCTTCTTCAGGCGGAAGTCAGACCCCCCCCTGCATCCTGCAAGGAGACCTCCGAGCGAAGCGAGGCCCCGGACACATCGGTGAAGACACTGAGACCCGACCCTTTCGGGTTTCCGGACGGACCTGCCTGCGAAGGGTTTTTGGAAGAAAATAAGGAACATAGACCGGTGAACCAACTGCTTGGGAATGTTTTAGGTTCTATACACTACACTAAGCAAGTCCGAGTTGTAGGAGGGATGATCTTCGCTTCCGCCTTGCGAAGTGAAGGGTCTGCATGTCGGGAATGACGGCGTGTCTGGAACACCAAGGGGTTTGTTATTTTTTTTCCAGTCCTGGGCAGTGCTGTAAATTGGAATTTGGAAGTCGCAAATAAAGTATACAGTCTGTGCTGATGTGGGACCAGTCCAGAACCCAGGCAGAACATGAGAAACCGATGTTGGGAGTCAAACCTAGGGTTTGCATCATCCACTATATCAGAGCTATCCCGCGAGGCAAAAGTTATCAGTGCACAAGGTATGTGAATGCTTGATAGCAGTGTCTTTCTGGCGAAACTCCAAGCTTTCGCGGCCAGTTCCTGACACCGCAGGGGTCCAGTTTCGCATTCGCACAGCGGTCCACTGACCAAGTGGGAATTCCTCGGTAGTTCACCCGGTTGACAAGCGGTTAGCTGCTGGTCACAGCAGTCTAGCTGAGTCTAGCTTTTGCCTTTGTGAGAAGCTGCAGGACAGTTTCAGTCAGCTTCAGATGACCAGGTTTGGCCAGTCCCGCTTCATGTTGGACCGCTAAAACACTCAGAGAGGTGGGCGATGAGGGCATGGGGCTCCACCACAACAGAAAGGTGACCACTTCATTCAGATGACTAGGTTTGGCCAGTCCCGGTTCATGTTGGACCGCTAAAACACTCAGAGAGGTGGGCGATGAGGGCATGGGGCTCCACCACAACAGAAAGGTGACCACTTCATGCACCGTGTGTGATGTTGCCACCAACTGACCAAGTCTCAATTCTCCCAAAAATTAATCTTGCTCCCGTTTGCTGAAGCAAGTCAACGCGGCAAACGGTTAACGGATGTTAACGGTGGTGCTTCGTGCCACATCCACGTGGGCAGCTGGATGGCCGCGAAACTGTCTCAAAACGGCCGGATGTTCAGTGTATACACCCCCTGGAGAAGGGGTGCTGAGTCAGTTATTTGAAGGGCTATGTAGCTGGTTCATGCTGGTTCCTCACGCTCCTCACCTGGTGGTGCAATGTGCAAAATGCTTTTAACCATCCCAATTTTTGGTTCTAATCCACGGACTATTACAGTACAGGTCGTTCGTGTCCAACGTTGGATTCCCCTCATTTACTGCTTTTAAGGGAAGATATCTTACTAACCCAAGTATTATATAAAAGATTATAAAAGGAAGTTATCGACACCTTCATTTCTTCTAGTTGGTTTTCGGGTCCTCACCATCTCAGCCATTCTCGCCATCCTCTCTCTCTGCAGGCTCCGCAGGCGCGGGGTGGAAGCCAAACCGTGCGAGTTCGCATGCAAGCTCGGATGGAACCGCTGACCTCGAAGAGCGAAAGGCGGTGGAATCACCGCCTCGCGCTGACACCCCAAAAGAGAGAGGCCGTCGGAATCGTTTGGCCGTGGAGTCCCCCAACTTCCCCTCCTGAAAGGGCTTGTTTTGCCGGAGAACCCTAGATAGGTGAAGAATGGGACGAAGCATTCAGTTGTGATGGGACGATGCGCCCCACAAATCCTCTTCCAGTCAGTGGATGGCTCCCTGTGGATCGTCGGATCCCGGAACCCCGCTCGACCACCGACCGTGGCCCGGGGATGACCCGGTGGGGCGCGTGTGTTTTGGTGTCCAGCCTCCTGGACCTGCAGATCCAAGAAAAACACAAGTCGTGTATGGAACAAGCCACTTGGAGTGACCTGCTGGGGAATCTGGGATCGCCTTGACAGAAGTGGATGATGTGGTTCCACCGTGGAAAGCAACGTACGCCATATCCGGTGCTTGGATTCGAGCGGTCCGACCAGACGAGGATCACACCGGGCACGTGCCTTGGCTGTCGCTCGGCCTCTTCAGCTCCACAGGAGCGTGCGCCATGCCCCTTTTGGTGAAGGGCATGAAGGGCTGACCTGCCGAGAGCAGATTTCCATGTATTCAACTTCGCCAGCCGTGGAAACTGCTCAAAGTCGGAAGAAGCGAGCCAAGCAACACGTGCAAAGCTCGTCGAAAGCTCGAACGGGAAGCGCTTTTTCAGTTCGCGCGCGTAGGTCTGCATGAGCACAAAAGCACCTTGACAGCACTCACCAAATTGCTCAAGGAGCGAAGTAAAAACAAAAAACTTGCCTTCAGTGTCTTTCTGGAAGACATTTGATGTTATTCGAGAGGCACTTGCAGGGTTGGGGACTATGAGACAACGGGACATCGCACACAAGATGAAGAGAAATAAAACGTATACTTATTAATGTTCATCATACTCATTCTGCCCGAGAGTTCCACGATTGGCTTCATTTCTCTTCTGCTTCAGAAGCTACCTCGTTCAGCATCCTGGGTTGCCCCGAAATGGTCGAACGTAAGGACACCATGGTCTTCGTTGATGCCCAAACCACGCTACCAGCCACCGAATGCACCGTGGCACAGCGATTCCGCGTGTTTTGCATCGAGAACGGTCGATGCTTTGACAGGGCGACATGCTGGGCGGGCACGCTGTAAACCAATTGCTCCTCGGCCCAGAAATCGTGGGGACGGGCTGGCTGGCGTGCTTGGAAGAGAACCTCAGAATTAGCTTATTATATTATACTATATTATGAAGTGTCATCTTCAGGGGAGGAAAGACTGACCAAAAGCTGCAGGAAAGCCTTGGTGTTTCTCAAAGGAAAGCCTTGGTTTGTCATATACTTGATACACACACGTGCATTTGTCCGTGTACAATGGATTTATGGTTTGCGCAGGTGTCGGATGTGTCCGCGCGTTAGACCCAGTAGTCATGAGGTGACGCGGCAAACATGAGGACAATCCACCAAGAATGTTCAATCAGCTTTGCCCTTTCAGGAGCACAAATCATCACAGGAGTACGTATCCAAAACCATATAATATATATATATATGTATAATACAATTACATCCAGTGAACATGCCTAGTCGCAATAGTATTCGTACCCTCTGAATCCCAGCCTCCTTCAGGGGCCATTTCAGACCGTCCAATGAAGTAAGAGTATGAAGTCAGCCTTGAAATTAAATGTGTATGAAGTAGAGAGACTTGGGGAGAAACTCCAAGCGAAAATGCCTCCAGAAGAGAAGAAATCAACAGAATTCCAGTTGTGGGAGGGTTCAGACCCCAATTGAGCTATAGTACACATATAGCAGGAAGTTTAATGGTCAACCGTCTCAATAATGCAATAGCCAGAACTCTGGGTTTGTCGTATTTTGTGATGGCTGCGTTTGACCGGCAGTCTAGAAGGGATACCATGGTAACATATGACCGCGAGGCTTGAAGATGCATTGGAGGCCTTCAATCCATGCAATTGCCAGTAGTGAGCAGGAATATGTGAAACATTGGCAAACAACATAAACAACACAACTTGCACAAACTTCAAAAGCCGCAATGCAGAAGAGAGATATCATTTGACCCATGCGTCCCATGCGTCAAAAGCGCAACTTTGCGGTTCATCCCCAGTTTTTGTTCGCTTGCTAGCTTGGTGAAGTTGTTCAGGATTTCTCTATTTAGATGTGTTCATTGTGAACGCAACAAGTGGAAGGAGGATAAGGAAGAATGGACTAGTTGAATCATCCCAAAGACCTTGAAGACCTTCCCCAGCAATGGGCCCTTTCCAGGAGACCTGTGGATTTATCGTTTTAGAACAAATGATGACAAAATATACCTCACAATCGCCGTTGCTAGAACTGCGTGAGGTCTTCAAGGGAGCCAGTAGCCCCTTCTTAGTGTGTGGTAAAAGGTACAAACTGGTTAAGTTGGTTAAGTGCTACCATTCTGCTTGCCATTGCTTGCTGGTGCATCTAGAAGGTCAACATCATTGGGCAGGCTTCACATAGGGGAAGTTTCCACTGGCCCAAAAGAGAAGGATGCTGTACAACACTGGTGTTGTCGTCGTCCAAGGAGGCCTCGGCAACCAGCTCCTATTCACTGGAGCTTAAATACTACAAATTGAGTCGTAGCGTCAAAGGGTCATGCGCATGCCACGTTTCCGAGTGGTTCTTTACTAGAGATTGGACCACTGAATGAGGAATGAGTGATTCATGAGGATGCAGTAGCGCGAACTAAGGTATTTGTATGAGTTTGTACTTTGCTAGCTTTCACCGTTTTATGTGTCCAAGAAACAGGAAACATAGTTTGCCACTCCTGGCACTCACCTCGTCTCACAACAGGGCAACAGGCAGACAGACTACCTTTCTTCAGGTTCCAGCTCCCCTGCAGATATTAAACCCCGGGACTGTATGTGTGTGTGTATATATATATATATATTTGTGTGCCCAGCAGTGACACATGTTGTTCCACCCAAGCCCTGCCCCAACCAACCCTCAATCGGCAGTCCCTCATCACTCAGGGGCAAAGAAGTTGCGGAGCTGGCAAACCAACTGCGCCTTGCAGGACAAGATCGGATCATCACCTGATCGGGACCATGACCCGCAATCACCTGGTCTGGGTCCACTGGGTCCACTACCCCTAGGCCCTAGGCTATGGTCATAGGTGGTGCTTTATCAACATGTCATCAACGTGGTGGGAGAGGTGCTGGTGTCATTCAGAACCGGAAACCAGGGGATCTCGGCGTCACGTTGGATCGGCTGATTGGGGGATCGGTTGGGACCGGAGGGAGCGGGATTGCCAACCAAGCAGGGTTGCACCCAATGGAAAAGAAGTTGATTGGAACTGGAAAAAAAGTGTAAACCATTAAAAAACACTCGCAAATTCTCACAAACACTTTATAATATATCTATAAAAAATTATACATGTTTTCATGGGGGCATGCGAGCAGACCTCGTGTTTTGCCGGGGAAAATTTCAGCCTTGTTTGGTGGGTGCAGAAGGCAAATGAGTCAGTTAGTATGCATTGAGTCAAATTTCCAAGTTCGTCCAGCGTTCCCTTTGCAACTTTGAAGTTGCGCATTCGTACGCATTCGTACAAATCCCAAAGCCCTAAAAAACCAAAAAACCTGCCAATGGACATGTTTCTTCCCGGTGGTGCTCGACATGGTTGTATTTTGATTGGGGTTGTTCAGGGGTTGTTCATCCCGTCGAGATGATTTCCTGTCACATGATGATCCAGACTCCAGACCTTCAAGCCTGAACAGTCGACACTCATCGCTTCAACTAGATCATCCTCCTCGAAGTGATCCAAGAACAACCCGTTTGTGAACTCCAGGTACTTGATCAACTTCAACTTCTTGTTATTCAATCTTCGTCTCCTCCTCCTCCTCCTCCTGCTTCTTCTTCTTCTTCTTCTTCTTCTTTGACTGTTCTTCAATTTCATCAGTGATCTTCAGGAAGCTTCCATCCCCAAAGTTCATTGGGCACAGTTGAGTCTTGTAGGACCTTCGGGTTGAGTCTTTATGAGACTCCAAAAGCCGACCATCAGCGGCCTAGGCATCAGATCCACCAGCAGGTCCTGGCGCAAGACAGCTCCAACATGACGGTGCGAAGACTGGGAGACTTTGGGAGACTCTGGGAGACCAGCAGCTTTGCAAAGCCTCGAAGTCACGATGAGAAGAAAGCGAAGCACGGAGATGTTCTGCGATTTTTTTCAAGTGTAGTCAAACTTGAGTAATTAGCTCCGGTCACCTCGTTCCACCCTCACCGGGGTCACCACCCAGAGGGTCGGTCTCTCGCCCAGTGTTGGACTGCGTCCAAGTCAACCCACTTCGCGGAGCGAACGAGAAACAGCACAATGACATCACCCACCTTCCACAGTGCCGGTGTCAAATGAAAAAACAGAAGCACTGAATCTAGTGTGAGTGTGTCTTGGTGTTTGATGTCCATTTGCTTTGGGCATCTCTCATTCTTTGAAATACATCTACCTGCACTCATCAAGGGTCTTTGGATCTCCCCTTGGTCGCCTCTTTCAGATCATCCGGACCAGCTCCGCTGGTCGAGGTGGCGGCCAAGCTCCGCGGCGAGGTGGCCGCCAAGTCCGCTGAGTGCCGGGGCGACGTGGCCCCTTGGACGGACGGACGTGGGGGAAGCGGTGGAGGGTGTGGAGAGGGGTGGGGATGGTTATGTCGTAGAGAGTTCAACGAAAAAATATGAAGCACACAGAAAGGACTGAAGACTGAAGATGTCAAAGCCATGGCTGGTAAAGGAAGGCGTTTGTCTAATTACATATTGGATCGGTGAGCGTTTTTTAGTGCTATGTTCGAGAGGTCTTCCCCCCCAAAGCGAGAGGTCTTGTTTTCTCTTCTTCGGACTGGGCGCTGAGTTGACTCAAGGGAGCTCAAGGGGTTTCTCTGACGTGGGACTTGATCGAACGTTGCTCTTTTTGGATTTGGAGGATTTCAAGCCACGAAAAATCCACGTCTTTCCCCACCCGTCAGGTGAGGCTTGTTAGATGTTAGAGGAGGAGGCGGGATCCTCCTCTGCCTCTGTCTCTGTCTCCTCAACAAAGGCCATGGCTGCCAATGAAACATTCGAAGGATTGGTTCAAGTGGAGCATTCGTATCGCCTTTGTCGACGTCAGAACTCCTGGAATTGTCATTCACCATTCGTTATACTGTAAAGAGATTGGCTCCTTCCTTCCGGGACATCGTGTACCTGCCATCCAGCAATAGTTTGGTTGGACTTCCTGGGGAGCAAAATGCATAACTTTCAATTTCTAGGCTGCTTCAAAGGGTGCTTTGCTTTTCAGCACAGCTTTCATTGCACCTCCGGCTTTGAATCTTGACCTTTGTCCCTAAAGTGTCTCGTATCTCAAGAAGCAATGTGGGGGTTGGCAATTCTAATAGTTAAAATCCAGAAATACAAACGATCCACATCCTCTTCTACGATTTACCCAGTTTTGCCGTTCGGTGGTACAAGATGTTGTGCATCAACACTTAACAAGTTGGGGAACTGGGGTGTCCCCTCACATGCCAATTGGATTGCTTCCAGCTAGCCTAAGTAAAAAAAAAAGACACACCAAACAAGGGGTGTCGCCTCAATGTTCGCCTCATCAACCCAATGGATCCCAGCCTGGGTAAAAAGAAAGACTCATGTCTTGAAAGCCACTCCCGATTCATTCCAACATATCCATAGTTTGCACCCAGTTTCGAGGAGGCCCCGGAGAAAACATGCGAGTGAACGAGCACGGACCAGTACGGTATGGTTCCATCCCGGTTTTGCAGACAGTGCTTCAGCTGACTGGTGCTGCTTCTATCGGACACTTCCCCTACAGGTCAGCTTGACCTCAGTTACTGGGAATGAGGTGAAAGATGGTAAAGGACTATAAGATGCTCCTACCGGTCAGTTTGACATCCTTCTTACTCTATAAGTTGATCGTATACAAAAAGCAAAAAAAAAAAAAACGAAGTCCTGCCTCGTTTCGGTGGGTTTTGTCCGACCTGGGTCCACTGGACCGACTGGTCAGAGGTTACCCCACCACCTCAGGCTGCCTTGCGCAGCGAGATGCTGAAGAAGATGGACGGGGCGTCGCCGACTCGCCGGGACGGGTCGGGGGGGGAAGTGGTCGCCGGCGCGACGTGCCTTTCCGGAACGAGGTGATGAAGATAAGGATGCTATGAGGAAGATGAGGTGTGTCCCTTTCATGTATCATTGCCATGTTGTGCATCAGGATTGTAGGTAAATGATGACGATGTGCCATTAGGACATAATTAGGACCACTGATGTGCTTTTCGTGTCTTTTGCCTAACTTCTGAACCCGCGGTGTTCGGATCACTGGTTCAGTCGCTGACTGGTCTCATGCTCCGAAGTTTGGTCTACAAACAAACAACGTATGTATTGGTTTTGCTGATCAGGGGAATGGTTTGTTTTCTCTGCAGGTTCAATCCCCCTTCGGAATATGTTAATTATATGTTTATATGTTTTTGGTCCCGGATCCGCAAATCCGAGATGGACCGTTTACCAAGAGTGGAGTCCGTTCAGATCTTCTATCCACTCGTGGATGTTTGTCGTTTCATTCATACCAAACGACTGAACACCAGTGACGTAACATATAGTGCCCACGATTTCGGAAAGTGGTTGATTTGTTCATGATCTTCCAGTGCAGTTCCGGGCAGTTCCACATACTGTCTACGCACCTATGTGCACGCATTGATTTATGCGAAAAACGGGCAGACCCACATATAGCGTCATAGAGAACATGTTCCTTGCTGAGTCCTTGTCCTTGCAGCTCCTCAGTGTTCGCTTGTGGTTGAGCGTTGCATGGTCCATACATGGTACCGGTCTTTCCACGTGCTTCCTGGCCCGGAACAGGTCATGTCTCCCGTGTTCCGGGAAAACCCGTGTCAATGTAGACATTGATGAGACATTCTGACGAATGAATAAAGAGGTTTTTACAATCAGTCTAAATGTCTGAGTCAGTGTAGACACTAGATGAATCAAACTAGACAGATCCAAGAGCAGCATTACACCAGCGTTCGACAGGAGGTCTCTGCCGCAGGAGGTGCCCACTCAGCACTCGTTGGAACGGTGTTGGGCCGTGTGGTTAGGGTTGGTGGCCTTCAAAAAGCCAATTGCTACACTGGAAATCATCACGGAAGTGGAAAACCAGCTGTTGGTACTCGGAACATGGTCCCCCTCACAGATAGGGCCCCTGTTACATACACTACACAGCCTCCATAGATACTTGTTACTACTAGCATGGCACTTGTTACGTTCGTAGCGAACCTTGTTACTACTAGCGATTTCGAGTGTCAGGAAAGCTGCCAAAGACCCGCAACCGGTGAAATCCCTTCGACGTGGCCGGGATCGGAGGCTGCCGAACCGACCTCCGACCTGTTCGACGTGGCCACTCTCGTCGATGGGAGAAAACCCACCAGAACGGTCCATGTACCTCACTGGTTTGGTTTTAGAGTTGTAGGGTTTTTGGATGTTTTTGGCGATTGTAACCTGATGTGGTACATCGATGTTACAACCATGGCAATTGCAACCATCAACGCTTTTGGTTCCAGTCACCATCAGACGTTGCTGTGCCTCATGTCTTAGATTTGTACAGACAATGTGGATTGATTTTGAAACCTCCAGGTTGCAGCGGGAGATTTATTTTCGATATTCTGGATGTTTCTTTCCTCGCCGGTGCACTTGCCAACTTTTTTTAACAGAAGGATGTATCAAAAATGTCTATCTGAAGAGTAATGCCCGTGTCCATGATGCGTTCGTCTGAATCGCTTCGGACACCACCGAGCGACTCGGCTTCACAAGCACCGGGCGACTCGGCCCAGCTAAACCAACCAATTCCGCCGAGCGAATTCGGCGAACACCGGGAATTCATGGGAATTTGGCGTATGGGGACTGAAAGGCCTTTGGCGTGTGGATGTTGGTGGGAGAGAGAACTGGGGCCATGATTTGGTTGGTTGGCTTTCAATGATTTTGTTGGTTTCCAAGCTCTATCTATTTGGGGCGCGGCTTCCTATGTCTTGATCCCACTGACTGTTGTCCAGAACTTCCGTGATGAACGACGAAAATGAACTTCTCCAGCTGGTATAGCCATCATCCACCACTAACACTTCGCGGTCAAACGAGTCATTTGGACTCTCAGCGATTGGACTCGAGGGAAGGAGGCTTGAGCACCACCACCGCAAACCGAACATGTCGATCGTTGGGAAGAGGGATGTGTCGATCGTTTGTCCGTTCTTACCAGTACTGGTAACATCCACTGGGCCCTGGTAATGGGATAGACCCAAGGGATGTGTTTTGTTGGTAAAAACATGTAAAAACTATCCCGCCAAGTAGCGATGAAGCGGTTTGGAAGGTTTGGGAAGGAGCACGAAATGGACACGCTGGGCAAGAAGTGGCAGGATGATCTACTGTACACTGAACCGTCAAACTTTGACAGAAATACGGATCATGTAGATCTACACCTCCAACAGATCACCAATTGAAACCTGCAACAGGGCCCTTCCCAACCCTCCATGTCGGAAACCTGTTGGGTTCGGTGCTGGTAGCTGTTTGGCCATGTCTATTCGTCCCCACTCAGTCTGTGTGAAAGTGCAGGAGCCTGAATCGTGTCGCAGACAGTGTCGTTTTGAGAACTTCATGAACCAGACATGTGTGAACTCATACGTGTCTTCATCCAAAAAAATTCACGGCTGGAGCCAGCTGACTGCTCATGGCTGATTTTCTGAAGGAAAACCTCTCACCAGTTCGATGTGTTGCGGCTCCCAACCCGCCGGTTGGTCTTGCGCGTGCGCGCGCTCGCGCAATCCGTCCAGGCTCGCCCCAGGTGGGCGACGGATCGAAAGGTGGAGGTGAGGGTGAAGGGATAGGTGGGTCGATGGGCAGCTGGGGCAAAAGGACGGTCTTTGGGGGAACTGATTTCGGGAACTTCCTTTACTTCAGCCGGTCAACAACATATCGTCGAACTGGACAGATAGGGGATGGTTTTTCCCGGTGAAACTGGAGGAAAGAACAACCCCGCGTGAAACGGACATATGGTACGTCTGATGTTTCTTGGTCGTTCCATGTGCGAGGACCGAGGCGTCCAGGTACGGAAATAGATGGCGGAATGGTCGAAGCGGTCCCTGGCAGACCCGGTAGCTCGTCGAAGAAAATCACATCAATCCGGTTTGTTGGTCCCGACTGCCAGGAGTGCGGGTCGTAGGGCCTGTTTGGGCGAGGGAAGCCGATCTACCTATTGGCTGTGATTCATGACATCAGAAAGGGTGGAGGAAGTCCGCCTTGGACATGTTTGGACACCTCGGTGGGTCAGGCATAGTTTTGGTAAGGGGTCGGACCCTCATATGGAGGGGTCTGGGGTCTCAAATCCTTGTGGTTTTGAGGGACCAAGGGCTGCTTGGAGCGTCTGGGTAATATTTATTCAGTGTCAGATCCAAGCATCACTTCGACTGGAAATGTGTGCAACATCGCCATGCTTTTTCGGAATCCATCGTTTTGATGGACCGACCAACAGAATCTGTCGCTCGATCGCTCAGTCGGGGTGCAGCGACGCACATCAGACGCTGGAAAAGGGAAGACGTACAAGACAAAAAAGGATGCGATCGCATGTGTGTGATGTCAGACGAGGAGAACACTCATCGGAGGACACCGATTTGGTCAAACGAGGAGCACCAGCACCAGGATCCACACCAGGAGTAGAAAGAGAAATTCAGAGAAAAGTTTGGCGCAGTCAAACGCGCAGTCGGGCTGGACCAGGATCTGACCAGACCCGTGCAGAGTATTGATTTCTTCAGAAACATAGGGTGAGGGTTGATCTATGGCCGCGATTTCTCGGCCCACAGCTCTCGCGCCTGTGGATGGGGCACTGTAATAAGTGCCGGCAGGCGCCTGCGTGTGGGGCGGACTCCTGGTGTGTTGGCTGCTCGGCACTTGAGCACGTGCAGGAGGAGCTCAAGGTGCGCTGGGGATCGCCTGATCTCCGGAGAGCAGCCAACGACCTCCTCGTCGACGCTGCAAGGCAGGTGAAAGTGCTTAGGGCGCTGTCCTTGCGACTGCAGCCCGTGGTGCCTCCAGGATCTGAGTCGGGGCGGAAAGAAGGAGCAGGTTGTCGAGGAGCCACTCCAAAGGCGCTGGCTCTCCCGAGGGAGCCGGGTGCCGCAGAAGAGGAAAAGGTGGTTGAACCAGAGCCGGAGGGTTCCTATTCATACACCTACACGGACTGCGAAGAAGAGGACGAGCTACAGGAGGAGAGGGCACCGGCCCCGAAGGTACCTGCTAAGGTCCCGCCTGTTCCGCCCCCGGTGGTGAAGACAGAGGAGGTTGAGGAGGCTCCAGAACGAAGGAGAAAGAGTCGTGAGGAGACTAGGTCAGGACCTGCCAGTTCCCACAGAAAGAGGAAGGAAAGACATAGAGGTGATAGAGACCGACATCGAGGACGACGAGGAGGCCGAAAACATCAACAAGTTTCGAAGCGGAAGTCAGACCCAGGAGTCAGGTTCCATAAGAAGAGAGGATTACACGAGTTGAAACGCTTGAGGGAGGACGAGTTCCCTCATCTTCCGGTTCCCCCGCGATGTCCGCGTTGAGGACGATCTTTGATCATTGGGAGGAAGGCGAAGAGTTTGTGATTGAGGATCAGGAGAGATGGACATTGTTAAACATTGTGCTTGGCGATTTTGTCGAACTGTCGCTTTCTTCTACAGACTGGTCACCCTCCTCGGACGCCACCGTCGGTTTTTTTGGTGATGGGCCATTCGGTCACCGCCGACGGGGGTATGGCGCTGAGGTGTCACTATGTGGGTTCGACCGACACTTCATTGTCGAAGAGGCTTTCTGGTCAGTTCAACAGGAGAGAAGGCTTTGTACATCTTTGCATAAGCCGGCCTTGCACCGAAGCCGAAGAAAGCTATCTCCACACCACCAGGATAAAGGTGTTCAGTCGCAATGGGTTCAATCCATCCTACTTCACTGCCGCTCACCGAAGGCAAGTCGCCAAGTGGTTGGGAGAGTCAGAGGAGAGCGAACCCCGAGGCGAAGAGGAGCCGGTGGAGAGTGGAGAACCTCGTGCAGCCAGGGTCAGTATTCCAGAGTTCAGCTGGGTAACAGAGGATGGAGGTCAGCTGGACAAGGCCCGGGCAGAGGAGCCAGAAGGTCGTCGAGCGTCGAAAGCCTCCCCAAAAGGCCGCGGGACGCGCCCAGGCGCGCTGCGAGCTACGCCTGCTGCTCGTGGTCGAGCGCGGGACAAGGGAAAAGGCATAGCAGGCAGTGGAGGCGCTGGGGAGACGAGGCTTTCCCCTGGTTCGCCGGTTGGTCGAGGAGATTCGAGGATGTCGGAAGCACACGAGGGAGGTCAGGAGCTTGGAGGAGACTTGGGGCTAGGCTCGGAGAGAGACAGAGAAGAGATGTCGACTACAGAGTTGCGAAAGAAGCTCGAGGCAGTGAGGCTGAAGCTAGGAGGTGCTCCTCGACCTCCGATTTCGGAATTGCGAAGGCTCCCCGACGAGGACGACATCGGGGATCGATCGCAGGAGCGACCAACAGGTTCCGACTATGTGGAGGATATGAAGGGCTTGATGACGGGGACCAACTTGAAGAGGAAGAAGGCATTGGAGGATACAAGAGGCACTACTACGAAAGATGTCTCGGAGCAGCTAGTTCGACAGGCTCAACATGTTGCCGCAGGGAAGAAGAGGAAGATGGAGGAGGAGAAGAGCAGTGGCGAATCAAGAGACGGAGAGAGGGCCGAGTTGCTGGCCTTGTTGAACCAGGTTGCACGGAGGAGTTCACGAGGGAGCAGAGGGGACAGAGACCCGCCGAAGAGATCGGGAGACTCCGGGCATTCCAAAAAGAAGAAGAAAAAGAAGAGAGGAAAGGACAAGAAGAAGAGCAGGAAGAAAAGGCTGGTCAACGGGGTCATAATGAGTACAAGTGGCAGCAGCTCCAGCTCGGAGGACTCATCGAGGTCGGTGGGGTCGATGTCAGAAGAGCAATTCGAAGCGCCGCTACGCAAAAGATCCAAAGCGGCCCCTGGTTCGGTACTGAAGTTGCTAGTTCAGAAAGCGCAAGATGCCTTGGACCAGGGGGGCATTAGTCGAAGTGGCTCAGGGATCGACATCAGCGATCACAGATGGAGTCAAACTGACCACGTACTACCAACTCCACATCAAGCCCCACTATGCGCAGCAGAAAGGACCTATGAGAGACATAGCATTGATGGCCAGGGTGTTGGACACGATCCGAGCAGGTTCCATCGGGCGCGCCTGCGACATGCTGGCGGGCCACTTCCTAGCGGCCCATCAAGCGCTGATGGACCAATCCTGGGTGCAGGCGAAATATCTCGAGGTCATAGAGCCGGAGGAACAGAATGCCACATCAGCGGCAATACTGTTAGAGGCGAGAAAGCATGCCAAGACAACTCTCAAGGCCGAGAGCTTCGACGCGTGGCTCCCAGGAAAGGGCTGGCAAAGGCCTTGGCAGGGAAGTGGCAAAGGAGGATGGCCAAGCGACAAAGGAAAAGGCAAGCAGAAGAAAGGAGGAAGAGGCAAGGACAAGGGAGGTTGGCAAGAGAGAGAAGGAAAAGGAAAGAACAAGTGGAAGGAAACACACGACAAGGGCGACAAGGAGAAAGAGTGAAGGAGAGGAAAGAAGATATGAGGCTGACAGTAAAACCTTTGAACAGAATTGAAGGTGTGGCGCCAGAGTTTGAAGAGGAGAGACTTGAGGAGGAGGATGCACATTGGTCGGGAGGAGACACTACAGGACAGATCCCCTCTGGACCTATTGCGTCCGTTGAGGTTGAGAATTCAGGAGCATTTGAAGATGGGCAGGCAATTTGCGAAGCAGCAGGGAAGAGCATTACCAATTTGAAGAATGCTGGAACAGTCCTGGCTTGGCTGCTGATTCAAGCCGCTGAGAGAGCACATGAGAGTGAGTGGAGATGGATTTACAAAGTGGCTTTTGAGGCAGGAAAGGCCGCGACTGGTCACGGGGGGGCCCGGAAAGGCTGCCTCGTTTCCCATGCGCAGAGGACGTACAGAAGGCGTTTTTTGAGGCCTTGAAATCAGTTGGGCTGGAAGAGGCTAGCTCGACAGCTTTCTCCGAACACTGGGCTGAAGATGCCTGGCTTTACTTGTGTTTGCAGTCCACCAGCGGCCTGGCGGGGGGGCAGATTCCCGCTGGCACCTGGCAGATGGACCAAGGCAGAGGAGAGAGGAGCAGACTCAGCCAAAAGGGCTGTGGGACGGCTGTTAGCATGCCGCTGCGAACCCCTCCAGGACTTTGAAAAAGTTGCGAGTGACCTTGCTGCAGCTAGGATTGATTACAATGGTGAGGAAACCGGGGTCTGTGAAGCCCTGACTCTTAGACAAATCATGCCTGCTCTCCCCCCCGCTGGGGCATGGCGGGTCGATTCCCTTGGTTGATGTGGTTGGTCCTGCTACCCGAGAAATCCTTGAGGCACCTGAAAAACTCTTGAAGTTGGATTTTGATCATCCTAAACCGAAGGTTCCTGGTTCAACTCATTTTGGAGTAGGAGAACGACTCCCTGTGTGTGAAACGTTGGTAAAGTTTGGAATTTGTGAATGGATCAAAGAGTCACAGGTGGTGAGAGTGAGAGGTGAAAAGGTGCTAAACGGACTCTTCGGGGTTCGAAAACCTGCTACGCTGCCAAGTGGTGAACCAATACTCCGGGTGATTATGAATCTGAAAGCAACCAACAGTGTCATGCATCAGATCCGTGGAGCAGTCGAAGGCTTGCCAGCCATCACGGCCTGGCAAGCGGCAGTGTTGGAGAGTCAGCATTGCTTTCATTACTACCAGTCGGATATTTCTTCAGCATTCTACTTGTTCGCGTGCTTGGTTGAAGTTCCTGGCCTTTTCAGTATCATATCCAGGACATGTGCTGGGAAAAGATGACGGAGAAACTTACCATCTTGCGTGTCGAGTTCTCCCGATGGGAATGCACTCATCGGTGAGTTTGATGCAAGAGGTGTCTGAAGAGGTCCTGTGGGCCGCAGGTCTCGATCCTCGAGCTCAGGTCCGTAGAGGACTTCCCGTCCCCCCAAGTTCTTTTAGATACTGCGTCTCAAGCTTCAAGGGAATTGCGGTATTTTTGGCAAGTTTACTTAGACAACTTTATGGGGGGGCGAAAAGAGGCTCAAAGGTGATGAGAGCACGCTTGGGGATGGGGTGCATAAGAAGGTTGAGGAAACTTGGGAAAAGCATGGGATCATTTCGTCCGCCAAGAAGAGGGTTTCCAATCAGGTTGAGGTTGAAGAGTTGGGTGCCCTCCTGCAAGGAGAGATAGGTGTGGTTGGAGGTACACCCCATCGGTTTTGCAAGTTGGTGCAAGCAACCCTTTACGTTGTCAGTCAAAGGTTTCTCTCAAAGAAGAGTGTTCAAATTGTTGCTGGACGGTGGATTCATGTTCTCCAGTTCAGACGACCGGGGATGAGCTTTCTGGATGCAGTTTGGGAATTTATCTCCAGGGGAAGTGAGGAGAGTCAGGCTGCGCTTAGGACCAAGAGGGAGTTGTTTTCCATCATGGGGGCCATTCCCTTGTTACACACCTTCATGGGGGCAGAGGTTGATAACCAACTCTGGTGCTCGGATGCTTCAGAAAGGGGAGGAGCAATTGGGTACAGCAAGCAGTTGAGCCCTGAAGGGATGGACTTTGTCATGTCTAATCGACTTTCAAGCGAAGTGCTGGGGAGCTCGCATGTGTTGGTGATTGCACTATTCTCAGGCATCGGAGGAACTTTTAGGATCTATGATTTGCTTGATGTAATCCCTCTAGGGGGTATTGCGGTTGACATCCATGCACCAGCCAATCGCATTGTGTCGCGACGGTGGCCTGGCGTAGAGATCCTGCGGGACATCCGTTTGATCACCAGAGATGACGTGGCCAAGTGGAGAAGAACGTTCCATACTGCACGAGAAATACACCTCTGGGGAGGTTTTCCCTGCCGTGATCTCAGCTCGGCACGGGCAGGCCGACTGAATCTGGCAGGAAGTGAAAGCGGGTTATTCTTTGAATTCCTCCGCATCTGGCAGTTGTTGGTGGATGAGTTTCCGCCGGAGGTCGAGATTAAGGTTGCGGCAGAGAACGTGGCATCAATGGATGAGAGTGCATCTATGGAGATCTCTCACTGGATGCAGTGTCAACCGTATTTCTTGGATTCGGCTGATGCTGTACCCTTAAGACGCCCGAGACTTTGTTGGACTAATGTTAATTTAGAAGGGTGCCTCCATGGAATCACTTTGTTGCCGGATAGACGATGGGTGCGCGTTGAAGCTAAAGCCCCTTTTCCTACCACCTCCCAGTGGATTACCCCAGGCTTTGAATGGCCAGGTGAACGTGATGTTGGCTGTTTCCCCACGTGTATGCGGGCTGTTTGGAAAGACACCCCACCTAGCAAGCCTGCGGGGATTCACAGGGCTGACAATAATTGTCGTGCCAGGTGGGCGGCATCAGGCTATGTTTATCCTCCCTACCAGTTCAGAGAGGAGTTCTTGCTTTGGAGGGACCAGAAGTGGCGCCTCACCAATAGTGGAGAGCGTGAGTTATTGATGGGATATGGTTTTGGACACACGGAGGTCGCCTGGTCCGCTAGTAAGATAAAGGGTGATCCTATGGGCTATGAACGTGAAAGATGTTCATTGGTGGGTGATGCATTTAGCATCTATTCTTTCATCATTGTGGGCGCTGGGCTGTGTCGAAACTTCCTTTCCCCCATTCACTATCGACATCTTTGCCAGCGCATGGGTCTTTCCCCGGGATTTAGAGCAGCTCTACGACTTCAAGCCCCCCTTGCTCGAAGGCTGCAGTATGGTTGTCAGGGCGTTGCAGAGGTAGATGGACGTTTCCAGGTTAGGGATTTTAATCTGCTCATGCTCAGCCGTACCAACTTCACGGGCAGTGATGTCCGAGTGGTTAGTGGGGACTTGGTCAACCCGCGTGCTTTCCCCCGGCAATCGGTCCGGTCCAATTGGTTTGTCTGGGAGAAAGGTTTTCACACTTTTTGGCCCCGACCGCAGCACATCAACCAGCTGGAGCTCAAGACAATTCTGCTCAGTGTGTTGCGAGGCATTCGTTCACTTCATTGGACTGACAAAAGGGTCTTTCATTTGAGTGACTCCTACGTTTCTATCAGTGTTATTGCAAAGGGCCGATCTAGTAGCAAAATGCTGAATAGATTGTTAAAAGTTCTCAACGCCCATCTCCTTCTTCATGGCGTGTATTTGGTCATGGGTCATATAGAAAGCACAGAGAACCCCACTGATGCCGCGAGTCGGCGTTAGAGTGATACAGAAGCGTACCAGGGCTGAACGCAAAGCTGCCCGCAAGGGCTTGAACTTGCGTGATGCTGGGATCACCGCAAAAACTCGGATTGCCTATGTGGTGGCGCTGAGGCTGCTTCTACCTTTCATCGAACAGATTTCAAACGAGTCAGAGCTTGACATGGCCTGTGCAGAATGGGTTGAAATGTGTTGGGAGGATGGAGAGTCATTGTATACAGTTGGTAATGCCTTGTCAGGCCTCCATTTCTTTGAACCTATCACCAAGCGTCGCATCCCTAGTGCTTGGAAGTTGTTCTCCACATGGAAAAAGATGGAATGGCCTGCCCGTGCGCCTCCCCTTACCTATGACATCATCCTTAGCTTAGCACACTATGCTTTGTGCCACAATGATCTATTCTTTTGTTGCCTCCTTGCGCTGGGCTTTTTCACTTTACTCCGGACCGGAGAGCTGTTGAATCTTCGTGGCCAGGATCTGTTGGCAAATGATTCGCAACTTGTTGTGTCTTTAAAAGATACGAAGACAGGTAAGCGTAACGCCGCCGATGAAATGGTCACAACAGACGAGCCTTTTGCAGTATTGGTGGCACAAACAGTTCACGATCTTCTTGCTTCACGTAACGCTCTTCATAAACAGCTCTGGGAGTTTTCCGGACAGGCATTTAGATCGCACTTCGATAGCTACATTCGGAAATTCAAATTGCAATCCCTTGGCTTTAGGCCATATTCCATGCGCCGAGGGGGCGCTACGTGGTTAGTGCAGAGTACAGGAAGTATGGAACTGGCCCTGTTGAAGGGCCGCTGGGCCAGCCACAGAGTGGCCCGAATTTACATTGCTGATGGAATCTCCAAGCTACCTGATCTTCTACTTCCGCCAAGGACAAAGGAACTGTTGTCTGCGTGGCACCCACGTCACCTCAAGAGTGACGGAAAGGGGGACCGTGGAAGAGAGTTCCCACGTTGAAGTTGACAGATAAACTGTAAGGTAA